ATGAAGTTTTGGCTTCAGTGTTAGGTTTGTTGAGATAAATTGAGAGAGCTTTTGTTTTAGGCTTTCTACTAACCCAGGGAGACGACAGCACGGGGTTTATGTCCTGCATGGGGTGATTGGTTGTTTTTTTTTTTCCTTTAGAACTGTGGTATCATGTGGCTTATTTTAAAGGAACATGTGTGAGGCAAAGGGATATTCAGCATTACCTTCCATGACACATAGAGTTGCATCAAAAGTTATGATGTAAGTTATTACAGTGCTATCCAAGGGCTGCATAATCAAGTAGTTCAGAATTCTGTGGTGCTGTCTGCAGAAACATGGAAAAAAACCATATCTGAATCTGAGAATGTAAGACTGATGAAATGAATAAAGAGTACAGAGTTGCTATGCATGATATTTTCACTGTAGAAAAGTTTTGGATTATTTTATCTATTATGGCTATGTCTGCTGAGACTTGCGATCTACCAGTGATCACTGAAAATTTAGGTGATTGTATGAGCATGACTTTCCTTTCAGCACACTGAATTCAGTACTTTATAAAGTGCAAGAGTTGTGGATAACCAGAACTCTGAGCAGTGTCTTTTGTTTTTTTCTTCTCCCCAAATGTAGTAAATTTAATCCAAACTAAATTGCAGAAGACAACATTGTATATCATCAGGTTGACAGCACTCTGCAAATGTTATGGCTCATCAGGATTTCCTTTGTAAGCCACACAGGAAATTTTTTGCTCTAAAACAACACTTTATTGAAGTGTACTGAAATCTAATTTATGCTTTTATATATTAAACTTTTGTTACCAGGTACTATTCCATAGATTTATTCTTACTCCATCCACAAGCTCCTTCTTCCCTCTCTCCTCACTCCAGAAAAAGGAGCTGATTGTATCTTCTAGAGGCAACTGGAGACTTTCTTTCCTTGTAACTCCCTGGTTTGCCCCAGTATCCTCTGTGCTGTCAGCTACGCTCTTCAGATGTAGGCTCAGATGGAAATACATTCAAATGTCTCTGATTGTAACATGTTGTCTTCTACCTGCCATATATTCACATGAGTATTTCTAATACATGCCACCACTGCTAATCTGAACACAAGAAAACTTTCAGGAATATTCGTCCTTTATTTCTATAATGTATTATATGGAATTATTAAGATACGGTATAATCAGGAAAATATTGAGGTTTTTTTAATGTCTAATTTGGGAAATTATTTTAAAGAGCCTTTGGGCATGTAGGTCTGAAAGCTAAAATCTGTGGTTTAAAATTTCTAAAGACTTACAAAAAAACTTGCTCTTGCAAGTTCTGCTGAATACAATACATCATTAGTGCTGTAGGTGAAGTATAGCACTCAAAAAGTACCTGGAGACAGCACACAGGAGATGGGAGGATGACAACAGTGTAATTACTTAACTAACACAGACTGTAACTACTGCTGTGTTTCCACAATGTCAGAAATGTGCCAAATGCAGACGTAGAAAATGTCAGTATACCTAATTAAAGCCACAGCTTGCACTGTAAAACAAGATTAAAGTACCAGCACTGATTCTTTTTTGGGTTTGCAGTCTTGGCTTTTCACCAGCCTTTGGATGCAGTGTAAAAAATAGCATCAGTTGCTCCATATGCAGAACAGGTTCACAAGACCTACATTAAGCCACTGAAAATGTTTGAAAAATTACAATTAATTACGTTTGGATAAGAGGAATCCATTTTAACAAAATGAAGTGCAACCCACCCATATTATATTTTCCAAATAACTTGGTATGTGAATGCAGTAGTTTTTTAAAGGATTCCAAGTCATGTATGACTCTTACAGCAGCTCTTAATTGCATCACTTAAAGCAGCTGGATGTAAATCACCCTTTTGTGTAAATTCAGCTGGGCCGTAAGAGTTACTTCAGATGTGAAATGTGAAGCCATTTTCTTCACAAATAAATTTTCCTTTTCAGTTTAAAATTGTAATGAAATTTTAAAATATGCATGTCTGTCGTTTCAAAGTGGCTAAGTAGGTAAATGTGTAATTCATAGCATGTTTGAGTGGAATGGCTTTTGTAATTACAGAGATGCCCTACACTGCGTGTCTGGAGAAACACATGAAGAGCCCAACAAAGAACAATTATATACTGCCCTTATTGATTGACTCATAGCACATTTCATGAGTATACATTTACAGTCCCTGCTTAAGGAAAAGCAAGTGTGTCCTTCTGCCATTTTGTGTGTTGGAAGTACTCGATACCAGCAGCCTCTTTGGGAAGCAGCTGCAGGAGAAAGCTTGCAGGAATTCATGGGAACCAAGCTCTGGCAGACACTGCACTGTGAGACGTTGAGAGCAGCTGTCTCTCCCAGAGGACTGATCAAATTAATCAGTTGATAGGGAGTATCTGGCTTTGCTGAGAGGCAGCCACTCCTGGATCCAGCCAGCCCCATCGAGTTCCTAGACCCACAGGAGCCAGGACATGCAGCCTCTTGTAGGTTGTAAGGGTTGTCTCTGCGCAGGAATTGAGAGTTCCCTAGTTTCTGAAGTTGGCAAAAGTTTCTGCCTAGTACAAAGGCAAGGTTATACTGATAAAGTTGGTCAGTGTGTTGTCCTTTAAGAATGATATGCCCACTATTGACAAAATGGTAGAACATAAATTATGACATTGCTATCTAAGCTGAAATACTAAAGTTAAAATACTGAGCTAAACAAAACTTGGTTTAGCAAATGCTGTGGCTTAGGAGAAAAGCAGGTAGCTTTCGCTTGAGAATATGAGAGCTGGGTTTGGGTGTTGGATCACCACCTCACTGCTGTAATGCCCGCTCTCCATGTTCTCACTCATCACAGACACCTTCCTGGGTGTCAGCTGCATGTAGTTCCCATTTACTCTTAACTTTCCCCACTGCCTACCTTCTCACTGCATCCTTATAATGACATTTTCATTCTGTGCCTTTGTCTCTCAGGCTATGGTCATACAAAGGACATGAGAAATGAGGGGATGGGCTTGGGAATTTTGCTTGTTAACCTAGACATTTAAATTAGCTTGTGTATCTAGCCCTGCCTAATGCACGTGTTCATGTTGGCAGTTATATGTATGTACTGGTATTGCTTCATATGGTTCATGGGGACTTCTCTGTAAGCTAAGATTTTGTGGTTTGGGGTTGGTTTGTTTTTTTTGTTAGAAGGCTTTATATCTCATATTCAGAAGACTCATGAATGTTTCAATGGCTTTGTTTCTACTAAAGCTTCTAGGTTTTATCTTTTAATTTCCTGTTAATGCAATAGGGAACAGAAATATGGTGATTTTCTTTTATAATTCTCCTTACCTATTTAGAAAAATCTGTGTATCAAAACACTAGCATTTAGTGATACAGGAAGAAAGTGCACGTAGATCATCAGAGATGTGCCTTAGGCTATGGAAATGGGAGCTATAGTATGCTCCTAAATCCCAAGATCTGCTTGAAGAAGGAAACTCTAATGTCCCTTCATAAGTGCTAAATATTTACACTTAATTAAATACTACTATTTGGCCTTCTGGGTTTAGCTGTACAAAAAAAATGAGACATTTAGACACATCATCAGAACTCCAGAATGAAGAGTGAATTTAAGGTATTTGTTTTGCTGTTTCTTTTGGAGTTTAGACTAAATAGGATTTGCAAATCAGGATAGCTGAGCAAAGATAAGATAAGTTTCTTTGAAGTTAAGCGGTTGCCTCATACACTACCTGGTGCTGTTAAGTTGACCAAAACGTCATTCGAGACATGCTAAGTTAAAAAAAAAAAAAAAAGCAAACAAAAAAACCCCAAACAAACAACAAAAGCCCACCAAAAAAAAAGAACAAACCCAAACCAATAAAACTGCAGCTTTGTGCAGCTGGCTTATTTTCACATTGTAAGAAGAATCTAAGTCTCAGATTTGGGACTAATTAGTAGAATCACGTGGACTAGTAGATAAATATTTCTACTAAAAGTTTTGGTTAACCTTATGGAAGAAAAAACTGTTGCTAATGCATATTTTATTGGCACCAGCCAACTTTCTTCCAGATTTTGTATTTGGTTGTGAAGCTACAGCAGTCCTTGTATGAGTATCTTCTTTCACCCCCATATTTATACTTCTGGAAAAGATTGCTTCACATCAGCAATGATAATTGCTTATAAGTTAATATTAAATAATGGGTTGGCCACACAAGACTTCAGATAAAAAAAAAAAACACAAAACCCTCAACAAAACAACAGGTAAATGTTTGTGGGATGTACTTACTGCAGATTACCGATACTTTAAATTTTACCAAAGAGCCAGATATTGTTAACAGTTCTTTCTAAAGAATTGTTTCTTTTTACTGGCAGAGTAGTTTTACTATCAGACAACAGAACTTTTCCTAAGGCAGTTCCTCCATTTGTCCATCATTTTCTATATAATTAGCACTTCTAAAAATGTATTTACAGTAAAAATGATAAAAGATGATTTAAAAATAAAACTTATGTTATCTTTTTGTAGTTCAGGTGGGCTTAATGGTACATATTTCTACAAATCTGTTGAATTTTTGGTGGAGTTTTCATAAAGCAGCTTACACTGTCTGGGCTGTCACTGGTTTGCCTGCCAGTTACCCTTCACCTCCACTTTCACCACCGCCACCACTGTGTTACATTGATGCAAATTGCAGTTACTTGTGTTCTTGGCCAAGTGGGAACATGTTGTCTGTTACCCTTAGCCTGCTGCTAATGGGTTTCCACAAACTGGCTTTGGAGCAGGTGCCTAGGAGCAAAACTGTTAAGGTTTTTTTACCTTTACATTTGCCTAATGTTTCTTTACCCTTCTTGAGATGGATTGAGAAGAAGAAACTACCATTTGTGGAAACTGCCATTGTGTGCAGCTGGTTGCTAATGGAATTTCTGGCTCACTGGCACTGTAGGTTTCACTTTTGGTTTTGATGAGCATTGTCTAAGGGATCACCTATTTTCTCCATCTTATGCAGCAATGGAAGTTTTGTACTGCAAGGATGTAATTTCTCTTTTTTCTAATTTTCTTTTGTAGTCTGCCATCTTCAACTTTCAGAGCCTTCTGACAGTCATCTTGCTGCTTATATGCACATGTGCCTATATCAGATCCTTGGCTCCCAGCTTACTGGACAAAAATAAAACCGGGTATGTAGTCTCTTCATTTTACAGATAGACAAGCTGGTTTTAACTGCAATGTTTTAGTATCTTCTAATGGTGTGCAATAATACAAATCTTGTTTTGAAAAATGTCTCATTTTTAAAAATAAGAATCTTCATTTTGAACCTTACAATAGAATGCAACAAAGTATTTGCAAGCACTTAGTTGCAATTTTATCGTAAGAATTTATTAACTATTAAAAAGCCAGCTAATACTGCTTTATTGTTATTTTTTGGATTTCCAACTTTCTCATTAGATGCTTATTAAAAATACAGAAATGAGTGATATAAAGGAAACATTTTCCTACATGTGGCTATTGCTGTAATGACATTTTTTATTCTTAGGGTGGGTAAAAAAATATTAAAAGCAGAAGCTGGGTTTTTGTTTGCTTTCAAGGTAGTTATTTTGGAGGTACAAGTTTGAAACACATCTTTAGCAATAATCTGTAACAAAAAAAATAAGTTTTTTTTAAAGGAAGCGACACTATGCTTGTATGGTCTTTTTAAGTCATTGGTTTGTATTCGCCAAGGTGAAGGAATTTGTAGAAGAGTTTTTGCAAGGTAACTTTTTTTTTTTTTTTTTGTCCTTTGGTCACACTAACTTCAGGTCTTGCTTTTACTCCTAAACACATGTTCCTAAGTGACCAGTGTTTTTCTTATTTGTGTTCCCATTTTCCCAGAATATGCTTCTTGTTGCGGAGCCAATACTGCTGCAAAACAGTTCTCTGCCCTGCTCAACAGCACATTTTTGGGGGTGGTGGGAAATGGGGACAGTCACAGAGCCACATCTGTGCCTCACTTAATGCTGTTAATACCCTTAATTCACGTTTTGGGTTACCAATTTTTTTTGTGCTAAAAATGAATATGACTGTATGTTGGGTGCAATGAGCTATATACAGAGCTGTCATTTAAATGCTGTGAGTTGAAAGTAACAATTGGGCAATTTTGACCTCAAAACCACTATGGCCATGCTTATCATTTCAGTAATACTGTCACCCAAGGGTAACACAAAGGAGATAGTATTTACAGAAGTAGGAATAATTCTAGCTGGTGATGTTCTAGGTGGAAAAAATCAGGCAGGCTTTTGGGCACTGGGTGTTTGACTTGTCTACTCTTTCCATTAGATAATTTGCTGTAAAAGAAAATGTGTTGGATTATTTTTTTTCCTTTTTCTGCCACTTCTACATTTAATTTTCAGAAAAAGTGTCAAGTCTTAAGTAGACTCTTCTCACCAAAAAACCTTCACTGTTTGTCTCCTGAAAACCTTTGTTGTAATTAGCCTCTGGAGTTGCTGTTTTATCATATGGGTTTTCTTTCAACAGTGTAAGATACCTTAAGTGTGCTAAGTTTTTTTTTCAGTTTCGAGTTCTAACGTGAAAATGCTTGTGTCCTTTCATATGAGGCTGTGACATTGTCGCTGACATGAGAGATTACTTTTGATAAAAGATGGAAAGAAAGGATGACTTCATGAAGGACTGTGTGGGGTGGAGGGAGTCAAGGGGAATTTGAATGTCTGCTAGTGGAAGATAACACAGTAGTCAATGAGGTACACACAGTAAAGAAGTAAGAATATTTATTTTACTGATTAAAATTTTAGTGCTGTTGTTGGCAAGGAGTGTTTCCTTTAATCTGGAGCTACTCTGTTTATTCTCGAGGCAGATTTGTCTGGAATACAATAGAACTCTCTTCATAATATGTTTTCAAAGGGTGCTGACACAGTGGAGGAGTTGGGCGTTTGATCTGTAGGTTTGTATTTGTAGAGATGTTGGACATACTATTTTGGTTTTTATATATAGCTTGTAGAGTATTTTGTACTGGAGGATAGAATGTTGGCCTGGAAGCAATGAAATTTGTTTCCTGGATGGTAAGATGTTTACATGGAGTTCATAATAAGTTGTTAAACCCTGTCCCTCTTCACTAACATATTCCATGCCCAAATTGAAATATCTTAGACATACTGGATAAAACACATTCTAGTGATATTTAATTTTACCACAGAGATGATCTTACCTCATTATTCCTATTCCAAATTAATGGCCTAAAAAAGTAGTGATAAAATATTCAAGTGACAGGAGAAATGTTGATTTCTGACTGAGTGGTAACTTTTGTGAAGTTTTAAATCCGTTGCTAGTAAGCAAAGAAACATGTTTCTATTGGTTTGGAAGACTTAGTTGCAAAGTGATGTCACCCATCTTCATAATACAGTATTTCATCCTGTTGACTTCTACCAAAATGTGTCTTCCTACCAAGGCAACAGAAGTTTAGACCTTCATTTCCCCTGACACATCTGAGTGTTTCTGCGTGCTTTGTCCTGAGCAATATCATTTAAGGTTGGGAAAATAAGTTGAGATTGACTGTTTCATGCTAACTAGAGGAAAATGTGTAACACAACATAATTTCTTGCCTCCATGGTAATCAGAAAGATGTGTTAGCTTAAATGCAGCAGAGATTTCCTTTGATTTGCCGTAAGCATTGCAGTGAGGTGCCTCTCACATTCCCTACTGTAGTGGCAATGGGGTTGTCCTGGTGAACACATGGCAGCTGCATTTTTAAGCATTCCCAGTCTAGCAGCTAAAGTCTAAAGCCCCACTAAACCTTTCTCATCTTACTGGGTTTCATTCCTTTGTATTTTTTGTTGTCCAAAAACCAACACCACTCTCACCATTTGTACTTTTAACATTGACACTGAAAGCCAGGAATATGCAGCAGCTCATACACATTTGACTTATGGATCCCAGAAAACAGCAGGTATGCAAGCCAGATTGACATATTTAACCTGCATAATACCGAGGATGGAGATGAACATGATGTTGAAGAGAATAAAGAACAGTGCAATTACTTTGAGTAGTTGCTTCGAGAGAAATTATTTTGGAGCAGATTCATTCAAGGCAGCATCATTTCTATAATAAATGATTAAACAAAACAGGTTTTGACTTGCAAGATGCATGTGTTGGATCTGAGATTATCAGTAATATGAAAATCCAGGGGAGCAAAAGGCCTATACAGGCTCTTCTTCCAATGCAAGTTCCCCTGATCATCCAGAGGCTGTGATTACAGCTGTTTAGGAGGCCCAGACTTCAATTTACTTTTGCTCAGCAGCAAACTATGTAGATAAACTGATGTACTGAGCTGTTCCAATAGCAGCACAAGCTTCTTAAAAAGTTGCTGTTGTCATCTGTTGGAAGGCTTGTCAGTCCTCAAATCAGTAATGACTTTAAGATCATAAATTGTTAACTGCAATGAGGATAGATGATGAAAGCCATATTCTAACTGTTTTGCACATCAGAAAGGAAAATCCATATTTTTGCCAAGAAGCAGTTTTTACAGGGCTAAGAGCAATGTACGTTACTTAAGTTTTAACCTCACATCATTACACACAATCAAGAAAACCTTGAGAAGGCAAAAAATACCCTTGCTGAGATGGTTAGGTAAAATTAGCAGGTTTATAGACTGCCTGAAGGAGTTAACACACTTTTTCACAGACAAGATTCTACAAGTATGTGTAAGAAAAGGATAGTAATGTCTTATTTCTTTGAGCTCCTGGGCAGGTTTTTGAGAGATTGCAACATGAGATGCTGGACTGTGGCAGTTTTTGTGTTGACTTTGCAGCAGTAATCTGTAAATGTTAATTTTACAGAGAGTAACAACAGTTTCAAGAGTCTTATATGCCATCCATACAATATTAATGGGGCTGTGTGTTTTGCTCTGTAAGATTTACACATTTACAGATGAATGCCTTTTTACCTGCATGCATCTTCAAAAAGTGCATATATATCTTCAGGTTACTGTGTGACCTCTTAGACAGGAACAGCATGATGGTCTACATGCAGGGATTATTACTCCTGCTTGTGGAGCTATATAAAAGCAGAAAAAAAAATGTGCTTTGACTATACAGAAATACTTTTGGCTTGAGCAAAACAATCTAAAGCACAAATGAAAGGGCCTGCATTCTAAAAAAATGAAAATGCTGGAATGCTATTCACAATTATTTCACTTTGACTTCAAAAACCTGAATCACTTGCTGTCTCTTGGAACACTTGGTTCTCACCTGCCAACATCAGACTTTTGTTTCAGAAATAAAGGGGAGGCTGTTAAATGGAAAGACAAAGGGATACTGAAGTAAACAAAGACTATAAAAGAGGACCTAAAATATGAAGCAGTACGGAAATTATTAAAAAAAACCACCTCAACAAAACAGCACAGAATACATTGACTGCTGAAGTAGTATGAACAAGTGGCCCAAAACTACATGTCTGCATTTATGCAGATAAAAAAATAGGCAATTTTCAGAGACCAAGAAAAGAAGACAGAGAATGAAACCATTGTGAGTAGGGGTTCAGAGCACTGTGGGAAGGCACTTGGAGAACTGCCATCACAGCAGGTAGTACATAGAACCCCACAGGTAACATAGACTGAAGTTACTGCTGATAAACATATCAAGAGAAGGAGGAAAAATAATCAGGGGTTTTTTTCATCCATAAATCTACAAATAGACAATATAGTTGAATCCAGATGTTTTTACTGCATTTCATATTATGCATTTCATACTATGCAGTCATACTATGAAGGAAACCTTTCTGTAGACAAGCTTTCAACACAGTTTTGACCAGCATTTGTAAGGATAAAAGCTGGCTTCTAGTTGAGGATGCTTCAGTATTCTTCCCCTCTTCCTCATATGATAAAGCAGGCTTCAGTCATGTTCCTCTTGAACTGTCAGTATGAAATTATTTTAGTTCACAGAGAAATTATAAATCTGGGACAGACGTGCACCTCAGCAAGTTTTCCGATGACACCAAGCTGCGTGGTTCAGTTGATATGCTGCACGGAAGGAATGCCATACAGAGGGACCTTGACATGCTTGTCAGGTGGGCTGATGCCAGCCTTCTCAAGTTTAACCATGCCAAGTGCAAGGTCCTACACCTGGGTCGGAGCAATCCCAGGCACAGCTACAGGTTGGGCAGAGAAGAGATTCAGGGCAGCCCTGTGGAGAAGGACTTGGGGTGTTGCCCAATGAGAAAATGAACATGAGCCAGCTTCGGTGTGCGCTTGCAGCCCAGAAAGCCAACTGTATGCTGGGCTGCATCAAGAGGAGCATGACCAGCAGGTCGAAGGAGGTGATCCTGCCCCTCTACTCTGCTCTCATGAGAAATCACCTGTAGTATTGCGTGCACTTCTGGTGTCCTCAGCATAAAAAGGACATGGAACTGTTGGAGCAAGTCCAGAGGAGGGCCACGAGGATGCTCAGGGGACTGGAGCACCTCCCATATGAAGATAGGCTGAGAAAGTTGGGGCTGTTCAGCTTGGAGAAGAGAAGGCTGTGTGGAGACCTCGTAGCAGCCTTCCAGTATCTGAAGGGGGCCTATAGGGATGATAAGGGGTGACTCTTCATTAGGGACTCTAGTGATAGGACAAGGCGTAATGGCTTAAAACTTAAACAGGGAAGTTTAGATTGGATATAAGGAAGAAGTTCTTTACTGGTAGGATGGTGAGGCACTGGAATGGGTTGCCCAGGGAGGTTGTGAATGCTCCCTCCCTGGAGGTTTTCAAGGCCAGGCTGGACGTAGCCTTGGGTGACATGGTGTAGTGGGAGGTATCCCTGCCCGTGGGAGGTATCTCGGCCCATGGCAGGGGTGTTGGAACTAGATGATTTTAAGGTCCTTTCCAACTCTAACTATACTATCATACTGTGCTTGTACATCCCTTTGGATGTGTTCTGAATAGCCAAATCCCATTTTTCTCATGTGTTATTTCGCTTGTGAGAATTAGTGATCTGTGCAGTCAGCATTGGAGACATGACAAGATAAACCTTTATAGGAGAATAAAAACAAATCTAAATAATTGTTTTGCTATTTATTTCAACACAAGTGTTTTTTATATCAGATTACACCTATAAGTATACTCTGCTATAAAAAGCATTTTTATCTACTATTGCTGAGGAAAATATAAAAGAGGGACTACAAAGCATTAAAAGTACTCAGGTTTGTCATCTCTTACACCCGCAGGAAAACTTTCTTCGAAGTCTTGACATAAAAAGTTTCCCATCTGCAGTATTTCCTACTTCAGTATTTTTTTTTTGTCCTGTGTTTTTTTCTTTGCATAAATTTGTCTGGGTTTCCTTAATGTAGTATATAAAATTCTGATTAAATCTTTAGATTTGGAGCACACACTGACTAAGAGCATCTTTGTTTTCTTGCTTGCAAAAAGCCTTGCTAGGCTTAGCAAGAACTTTGTCACTTGTTTAGCTCCCAGCCTGTACACCTCTGTGCAGGTGTCTCATGTTTTCTGATGTCAAGAAGAGTGTCAAGATGGTAAACTACTGTTAATTTGGGTTGGCTTAGCATAGAAGAAGGAAAACCAGTTGACTTAAGTTATTTTATTAAACCAAGAGACTAATTAATTTATTTTATCTCCACAGACTATTGGGAATATTCTGGAAATGCGCCAGGATTGGTAATTCTTTTTCTTTGAAATCTTTTAATTCTTTTTCTAGAGTATGCATTATTTGTTAGGGTAGTGTTTCCTTGTAGCAAGGAAAGCCATATCATACATCATAAAAAATGCAGGTTTTTCCTCCATGAAATACGGTGAAGGTGGGGGAGACAGGGTATGACTGTCTTATGTAGCATCATGGAAGCCCACATTTTCAAATATCAATTCATACATGTGGTGCTATTGCAAAAATCTTTTACATAACCATGAGCATACTTCTTATTAACAAAGAAATAAATCAGTGATTCCTGATAACCTATTGCCTGTTTGAAATTCTAAAGGATTGCTGGCAAAAACCAGATACTTACCTTGTAGTAATAAACAAACATGAAATTCATGATGCAGTAAGGTTCTGTTTAATCACAAATATCTCTTTTCTCTCCTTTCTTTAGTTTCCTTCTGTGCACTTTTGAATTACACAAAGATGTTGGTGTCAAGTGGCATCTATGGGCAGGCTGATCAGCTCTGATTTTAGACACTTTCCCGTAATACTCATTTATACTTAATACTTATTCTGAATTTATTTTGAGAAGGAAATGGGAATATGCAACAGAAGTTCATTCTTAGCATTAAGGTAGATCCAAGATTTTTTAAAATTGACATATCCATCATCAAAACTATATTCTTCAAATACTATTGTTAGTGCAGATCAGGAACATTGAACTTGTAATTGTAGATCTTCCTGCTTGTCACTGAACTTAAAGGAAAAATGTGTGGTTCCCTCTTATGCATTCTCAGGCTTTAAAGGGGACATGACATACATTTTTCAATATGTCAGAAAGCATTGACACAAGAACCAGGGTTTTGTGAAGACCTGTTGTTAAAATGATTGCAGATACTGTGCTATTTAGATAATAGACATAGCAGAACTAATTTTGGTATTGTAATTGAAAGATACTGGCAAGGTGGCAGCTGTCAGAAATGAATTTTGAGCTATAGCAGGAAAAAAGAAAAAGGTAAAAATTCAGCTGCATTATGGTTTGTCTGAGATTGAACATCTTAGCTTACCTTATCTTTTTAGTTAGTTAATATGGAAGCATATTTTTTTCCATTAACTATGCACAGCAAACTGTTTTAAAAACTATTTAAAGGAGTGCAAAAGAGGTTTAATGAGGCCCCTGTTAACATGATAAAGTTAAGAACTGCAGTTCATCTGGAACAGTCTTGTTTTCCCATCATGTAGCAACATTAACAAGTTTAGATTTGCTGCACCCAAGTTAATGCATGCATTCTTGTTCCTCATACTGAACTGCATCTTTTTTTCTTCATGTAAAACACTAATTTCTTTTCAACTTACATCAGTGGTCCAATTTAACTAGAAGAGAATGTAGTATCTTAACGTTTGTTCTGTATATTTCCATTCTTAGCAGTACCATATTGTCAGTATGGGAAATGGGCTTTGAAGGTGATTCCCATCATTTTATTTGTGTTAATCACAAATGCATGTAGAAAATGCGTGCTTTAAGAAATGAAAATGCTTATTGACTGTCTTTACATTTAACTTCCCAGTATGCTTGAACAACCTTTTCATATGTGTGTAAGATTTGAATAACCAACAAGTGGTTACATATTTACAGAGTTGTGCAAAATGATGTTTAATCCTGCCACATGGTGGTTTCTCTTTTAAGAAAATTAACAGCAGAAAAGTATAGACCGTATGAAAATTGTAATACTCTAAACTATAGGAGGTGGACTTCTTCAAAAATTTAAACACGTATGAAACTGTAGACATTAATTCATTCAGTTATTTGAAGTTTAATTAGATATATGCTAGATCATGACAGCATCTTGTAATGTTGCTGCAGCAGGCACTTTTGCGTATGGAAGGTGTCTCTACAAGTATTTTCTTTTGCTGTGGAAAGTTAATTCCTCCTGTATTTGAAAGTCCTGCTGGTAATCCTTGGCAGTTTTTTTCTTCAATTTTTCTCTGAAAACTGTATCTGAGAAAAGCTGTTTTGTAGTAGGGCAAAAGACCTTGCATAGCAAAAGGAAATGGAAGTTTGTTGGTTTTTTTTAAAATAAACAGGTCCAGCTGTCTTGATGCTTCTGAACACATAAACCCAGGAATCTTCTTAAAGAGTCATTGCTGTATTGACACCTCCTGACAGTTCTCATAGAATCATAGAACAGTTTGGGTTGGAAAGGACCTTAAAATCAACTAGTTCAATCCCCTTGCTGCAGGCAGGGACACCTCACAATAGACCGTGTCATCCAAGGTCCCATCCAGCCTGGCACTGAACACTGCCAGGTGTGGTACATTTACCACTTCCTTGGGTAACCTGTGCCAGTGCCTCACCACCCTCACAGGGAAGAATTTCTTCCTTATATCCAATCTAAACTTCCCTAGTTTGAACCCATTACCCCTTGTCCTGTCACTACAGTCCCTAATGAAGTCTGTCTCCAGCATCCTTGTAGGCCCCCTTCAGATACTGAAAGGCTGCTATGAGGTCTTCACACAACCTTCTCTTCTCCAAGTTGAACAGCCCCAACTTTCTCAGCCTGTCTTCATACAGGAGGTGCTCCAGCCCCCTGATCATCCTCATGGCTTCCTCTGGACTTGTTCCAACAGGTCCATGTCCTTCTTATGTTGAGGGCATTCTTGTTTTGTAGACTGGAAGTACCAGTGCAGGGGATTTTGCTCTCCAGAGAGAAGTCAGTGGTTTAAAGAAGAGTAATGCTTAAGTGTCATAGAATTCCAGCCTGGTTTGGGTGGAAGGGACCTTAAAGCTCATCCACTTCCAACCCCCTGACACGGGCAGGGTCACCCTCCCCTAGACACTAGATCAGAGTGCTTCAAGCCCTGCCCAGACTGGCCTTGAACACTTCTAGGGGTATGTAAAAGCGTAAAGTAGGAGAGTAAAACCACCTGGATAATTAAATAGAGGAATTGCTGATGTAAATAGGCAACAGTCTGATTAACAATACTAATTTTCCTCTTATTGTGTTCCAGTTGCTTACCTAAGATTTTTTTTTTTTTTTTTTTTTTGGTGTAGTTTATTTGAAGAACAAGAGAACTTTGTGGCATTTTTGTTCTGGACCAAATGGGTGGGAATATACATTTCATGAGTGCCTTTGCCACCAAATACAAGTCTATTAATGGAGTAAATTTAACTTTCATCCACAGTCTGCCCCCAGAAACTGTAGCACTCATTTGAAATACTCAGAAAATAGAGGCGTCTGTGCAACTTCTGTGATCTGTTGACCGTTTTTATCACTAATCTGAAAATCTCTGGACCAGACCCTCTCCACATGCTGGCAATGTTATGTCTTTCTAGCAGAGAAATAAGACAGGCATCTGGCCATGTCTGGGCAGCTGTTAACTCCCCAGACAGCTGGCTCCTGTACAATACCATGTGTAGGGGATGCACACTGCATATAGTATCTGTGGTGGCCAGAGAGCATTGAGGTACACCTCAGCTAAGACAGAACAGCTTTTGAGCAGCTATAGCCTTTAGCCAGAATTGAGAAGAAAGCCAGTGAAAGGTTTGGTGTCTTGATTAGCTTTCCAGTGCCTGCCTTCTGACTCTCTTTGTCACTAAGAAACAGCAGCAATATATTTTTTTTTCTTTTTAATATTTTCTGGAAACTGCATCTCAGAAAAGATGCTTTGTAGTAAGATAGAAGTCCTTGTGTCAACCTTTGCTTAAAGCAAACACCTCCCAGTCTCTCTTTAAACTGAAATACATCCTGTCCTACATCTTAGTTTTTCCACCCCCCCATGCATGTTCTTCCTCAGTTACACATCTCTAGTTGTAATAGCATTTCTTCCAGCTAGAAATGTTGAATATTAATTTGCAGTTACAATGGGATTAATTAGCATGCTAGACTAGGAGCTGCCTAGATATGCTTGATCATGCCCAAGTTTTGGTTTGGTTTGGTATTTTTTCTTTCAGGTGAACGGAAGAGCCCATATGTGGCTGTCAGCTGTGTCGTGATGGCCTTCACCATTCTGTTTGTGCAGTAGCAACTTGAGAGTGTGCTCTATGCCCTTCTGGCAAACATCAGAGCATAGAAGAAGTTCTGACAGGGAAAGACAGGAAAGCGCCATCAAGTCTCCTCTCACGCTGGATAGCACATTGGATACCCTGCCTCGTAATGGATGCTCTCCCTCCTGCTAACATACCATCATGTACAGTGGTAGTGATCATAAACCAGCTAATGCCAAATGACACATGCTCATTAATGTCAAGACAGTACTGGCACTCCTGATGTAATTCTTGAAAGGGTGTCTGATGTATATCTGAGCTTTACAGAAATTTATAATTTTTCTTTTTTGTTGGTTGGTTGTGGGGTTTTTTTGTGGGTTTTTTTTTTTTGGTTGATTGGTTTGTTTTGTTGTGGTTTTTTCTTAATAGACCTATTTAATGAAACTTCAAAATGATAAATGTAGCAACAGCGATAAGACCACTCATACAAGAATAAGGATCATTGTGACTTTAGGATATGTTTCATGACTGTATTTTAGTTTTTACTGTCTGAATAGTTCCTGACATTTTGTGATAACTGTACTCACATATTAAAAATGGGATCTGTGGCCTAAGCTTTCATTTCAGATTTCATTTTTTAAACTTGTAATTCCTCAGATTATCCATAAATATTTTTCCTTTAAGACAAGATACGAATAAAGGTAGGGACCAGGATTGTAGTGATGTCTGACTAGCTGCCGAGAAGGCACAGGCATGGGATTTGACATCTTCGACTGCTCTGTGTAAAATATCGTATGTATTCAGTTTTAGAGATGTAGGTCTTGGGTAAATCTCCGGTAGATTGGTTTGAGTTGGAAGGGATCTTAAAGCTTATCCAGTTCCACCCGAACAGGCAGGGACAGCTTCCACTAGACCATACTGCTCCAACCCAGGCCTTAAAGATTCCCCAGCTTTCTTCAGTATTATTAGAAAAAGTTTCTAAACGCTCTGCTGCTGCTGTTGCATGTTATGTAGGGTTTCTGTATCAGCTAGGTGAACAGTTAGATGGTCTACGGATAAGGAAGTCATGTGTCCTAGTATTCAAAAGGTGGAAGAAAACAACTAAATGAGATTACATTCATTGTTAATTAAGATTAAATTACCTCTAGTAATACTTTCCATTACCATTCATTCTATAATTTGGCAAACTTTTAGTAGTCTAATAAATTATTTTAATAATGCCTGATAGTGTGTTTACTCCAGGCAACAATATGGCTTCTTACTGACTGCGTTTGAGAGAGTTGTTTGTCAGCAGTAGCTTTCTGTTGCTCTAAAAACTTACATGATCAGAATGAGCTAAGCTGGCAATAACACACTGAAAGGCATGTAACTTTTCTCATTTTTGTTTAAAAAAACTTGTTTTCATGGACCCAGATTAACCTGCATTTAGAAAAAAAGTGATTATTAGTTATTAACTTTGTATGATCTCACGTACACCTGCATATCTAAATCACCACTAGAAGTAATCATTGAAAACTGGTCTCTAATTTGGAGCGAGGAAAAATATAGATTTTTGCAATTTAGGCCAAATAAATACTCCTAGCTATAAACCAGGCAGCTTCAAAGCTGTACAGAGCTGTATGATGATGACCATACTGCACACACATAGAAGGCTTAAACTGCAGGGGACCTGGGGAGAGACAAAATCTCTTTCTGTGACTTTAAATATGGATACTGCTCCAAACATAGCATCAAAGCAACTCATTTCTGGATTTCAAAGGTGCCATTCTGAGATGAGGGAAATTTCTAAGGAGTCTTGGAGTTTGACTCTTCAGGTGTATACATGTTCAAAATATGCAGAGAATCATCTGTTAACTGCCTATATTAAGCGATTATAGTCTAGTTGTTAATATTTATGGGGCTTTGTTATAAAAGTGTTTGTGTGGTATTTCACACGTTTCTACTTCATCTAAAGATGTTCTAGTTACCAGATTAATTCCTAATAATCAGATATGTTTAGCTGTAACTAGGAGCACCAGTGAAACAACCCAAGGAAAATTTTAATTCTGAGAATTATGAAAGCTATTGACATTGTATTGCAAAAGCCTTTCCTGTTCAGAGCATTTTATCATTTAAGTTCGTGCAAACAGGCCTCTTCCTATTTGTTGCTTGCTGTTCATAGTTGAAAGTTACTTCTTATACAGTTCTTTGTTTTTGTCCTAGATGCAGGTTATTGATGGATACTTTCTAGTTTGGGATGTTTTTTATTTTCCTCATTATATGACATTTATGGGATGCATGCTTGCTCAACAGTGCTACTTTCATCATCATCATCATCATGGCTTGACTTCGCGAACGAAGATTTGGGAAGGGCTTTTACCCACGCTTACTACAAGCGCGCTGATGACTAAGAAGGCCAATGTGGGATAGGCAAATCCGGCTACAAAAAGCACAGCAGGTCTCCTTGGGTGAAACAGGTGGGGCGCGATTCTTCCTGCATTGTCTTTTCTCCTCGAGACTAGTTCTTCATGAACTTTCAAAGGAGTCAGCAGCATTATGTATGGTGCGCCTCCAAGTCTCCCGATTGGAGGCCAAGGTGGACCACTGATGGTAGTCAATATGGCCAAGGCTAAGGTATTGTTTCAGGGAGTCCTTATATCTCTTCTTTGGGGCACCTCTCTTGCGGCTACCGGTGGCAAGTTCACCATAAAACACGATCTTGGGGAGGCGGTGATCCTTCATCCTAGAGACGTGCCCTGCCCAGCGCAGCTGCAATTTCAGCAATATGGCCTCAATACTGGTGACCCCTGCCTGTTCGAGGACAGTGACATTAGACACATAGTCAGTCCAATGGATGTTTAGAATTGTACGGAGGCAGCGCTGATGAAAGCGTTCCAGGAGTCGCAGGTGATGACAGTAGATGACCCATGATTCAGACCCATATAAAAGAGTAGACAATACAATGGCTCTGTAGACGCTGACCTTTGTACTTTTCTTCAGGTGTTTATTACACCAGACTCTTTTATGGTGTTTTCCAAAGGCTCTATATGCCTTTGCTATTCTGTTGTCTATCTCTTTGTCGATCGTGGCATCCGAGGAAATGATGCTTCCCAGATAGCTGAACTGCTGAACTGTCTTAAGCTCTGACTCGCCGATGGTAATATGGGGATGGCGATGATCTTCGTGCGGTGCAGGTTGGCAGAGGACTACTGTCTTCTTCAAGCTGACTTGCAGCCCAAAAACCTCAGCCACCTCCGCAAAGCAAGATGTTAAACGCTGCAGAGCTGCTTCTGTGTGGGCAACAAGGGCGGCATCATCAGCAAAGAGCAGTTCATGGACAAGATGGTTTAGAGTCTTAGTGTGGGCCTTCAGTCGCCTTAGATTGAATAGGCTACCATCGGTACGATATCGAATATAAATGCCGTCTTGTTCGTCGAGGTCTGCTGTAGCCCTTTGGAGCATCATGCTGAAGAAGATTGTGAATAAGGTCGGTGCGAGAACGCAACCTTGTTTCACACCATTGGTTATTGGGAAAGGCTCAGAGAGTGCATCGCCATACCTGACTTGGCCTTGCTGATCCTCATGTAACAGAATAATCATTTTGAGGAACTTGGGGGGACAACCTAATCGTTCTAAGATCAGCCACAAGCCTTTCCTGCTCACAGTGTCAAAAGCTTTGGTGAGGTCAATGAAAGTTACGTATAACCCCTTATTCTGTTCTCTACACTTTTCTTGCAATTGTCTGAGAACAAATACCATGTCTGTGGTACTTCTATTAGCCCTGAAACCACACTGACTTTCAGGTAGAAGTTCTTCTGCAATAGCAGGTACTAGTCTGTTCAATAGTATTCTTGCAAGAATTTTACCAGCAATGGAGAGCAGAGTTATACCACGGTAGCTTGAGCAGTCTGACTTGACACCTTTTTTCTTATACAGAGTGACGATGATTGCGTCACGAAAGTCTGACGGTATTTTGCCTTGTTCCCAACAGCACACAACTAGCTCATGAAATTTAGCGTGAAGTGCTTGGCCTCCATGCTTCCATATTTCAGGTGGGACTCCATCAACCCCAGCTGCCTTGCCAGTTTTCACCTGCTGTATGGCCTTAAGAGTCTCTCCCATGGTAGGGGCTAAATCCAATTCGTTTTTCACTGGATGTTGCAGAATGTGCTGGATTCCTTCGCCTTGGACTACACGATTAGCACTAAAGAGGGTTTGAAAATGTTCAGACCAACGATTCAGGATGGAGATTTTATCTGTAAGAAGCGTTTGGCCATCTGCACCAAGTAAGGGGCTTTGAACCTGGAATGTGGGTCCATACACTGCCTTCAGAGCCTCACAGAATCCTCTGTGGTCACCCAAATCTGCACATAGTTGAGTCTTTTCTGCTAGGTTGACCCACCACTTGTTCTGGATGTCTCTAAGTTTCTGTTGGAGTTTGCTACATGCAAGACGAAAGGCTGCTTTTCTTACATGGCAGAGTGGCTGAGCGAGGTGTGCTTGATGAGCAGATCTCTTTTTTGTCAGCAATTCCTGGACCTCCTGGTTGCTGTCGTCAAACCAGTCTTTGTTTTTCTTTGAGGAGAACCCAATGGATTCTACGGAGGACTGCAGGATGCTGTTTTTGATATGTTGCCAAAGCGCTTCAGGAGAAGAATCTATAAGTTGGTCTTCAAGCCTAGTTTGAAGGTTAGCCTGAAAGCTGTCCCTCACAGCAGCTATTTGAAGATTATCAACATTGAGCCTCCTCCTCGGAATGCCGCCCCTCTTAGGTTTGGGCTTGAAGTGGAAATTAAGTTTGCAACGCACAAGGCGGTGGTCTGTTTGGCCTTCTGCACTAGGCATCACTCTGGTCTGGCAGACATCACGAATATTTCTCTGGCGCACTAAAACATAATCAATAAGGTGCCAGTGTTTAGACTGAGGATGCATCTAGGTTGTCTTCCAGCTGTCTTTCTGCTGGAAGATAGTGTTGGTGATGGTAAGCTGTTGCTCTGCATAGAACTCTAGTAAGAGATGACCGTTATCATTGCAGTTGCCAACACCGTGCTTGCCTAGTACTCCTTTCCAGGCGTCAAAGTTCTTTCCTACTTGGGCATTGAAGTCACCAAGGATTATGATCTTATCTTCTATAGGAACCTTTTGAGTGAGGTGATGCAGGTCGGAGTAGAATTTTTCTGCAGGATCAGCTTGCAGAGTTGGAGCATATATGCTGAAAAGAACAACATGCTGCTTATTGTGTAGTGGAAGACGTAAGGAGATAATACGGTTGGAATGACCTATCAGCAAATTTTCAAGTTTAGAGGCTATGGAGTTTTTAATCATGAAGCCGACTCCAGAAAGATGACTTTCAGTTTTGGGTTTGCCTGACCAG